CATCTCCTTAAACCGCTTTTTAAACTGTGCCATGACAAGGTGTTGCATTTTCAGAGCTGTGGCACTGTGTCTATAGCGCTGCAGCTCCAATATTTACAATTTACATGCACATGCATTTTTAAAGACTTTGAGTAAAGACTAGTTGCATGCATGAAAAAGAAGAAAGCATGCTCGTCATCAGCTTTCCCTCACTCTTCTTCTTCACTTGCACCCTTTGTTCCTGCCCTGGGCCTACAGACCACACCGTTGCAATTAGAGCTCATCGCATCATCAGGTGTACTGTAACTGCTAGTTACCCAACGGGAAAACATGACGAATCCAATGGCGATTAACAGATAATAGGCTTTCCTTGAAATTCCTCAAATGGAATTGCCCCCCCCGAACCTCTTTCCCGTTTACGAGGCACAAACATAGATTTGCACTTAAATGCACAAGCAGCCACTGCATCTGTTGACTTTTAAATGCACCATCTTTCCCAGAAGCCCCTGTGACTCAGGAGATCGTATATATGGACGCCCTGCTGTTAGCTCATTACTATTAACATTCATGTTGGATCAGTCACTGATGTGGTCTGACTAGACCTTAATGATCCACATGCTTCTCTCAGGCCGTGTCACACTGCGAGCTAGGATGGGAAATAGGTGAGTAGGTACACGCGTGTTCTGGGATTTATCTGTGTTTCACCGCAAGATGTCAGACAGAAAAGTCTGCTGCTGATTCACCGGTGATACAAACATACGTGTGCGACTGCAACACGACTGTTGAGGGAACAGCTCTGCGTATGTGGATCTGGACTCACAGCTTCTGCTTGAGTAACTTTTTGATGACTAAATGCAATAAGTGTGGTTAGAGGCGTGGAGCTTTCCGTTAACTACCAGCAATTATTCACATCTATCTGTTCCTATTTTAAAACTCTTCCCATGAGGTATCTTTAATGTAAACGATCATGATCTGCAGCAGGTTTTCATTTGCAGCCCTGCTTTGATTAGCAACGCCAGAATCTGTTACGTGACCAAAAGGCAAAACAAACAGCTTTGTAGATAAATATGGTGGATTTACCTGCTGCTTGAGCTGGTGCATGAGCCTGTCCTTCTCCCTCTTCAGAGCCATCACTTCCTCCTGGGCTTTCTTGCGTTTGGAGGAGGATAATTCTAGCAGGGCGATGTTGGCATCCTTTTCACTGATGGCTGCAAGCAAAGCCTGCTGCCTGACAGGGTGAGAAAAAGAAAAGGACCGTACTGACTGATGGGTAAAGTGTTAACAGCAAGTCACGTCACGCTTTTAATATTTAGGAAACAGACAGGTGTCGACTGCAGACAGCCCTCACAGGAAGCTCACTAATGCTCCCTGAACTCAGACAGCGACTCCACAGAGAAGAAGCAGACATCTTTGAAGTGGTCGGCTAAGTGTAGTATTTGTGGTACCTTACTATGACTCACGAGCATGCAATAGTGTAATAGGACCTAATGGAGCAGGCTGAGCAGGATATGACATCTTTCTTATGTCACCCCTGTTCCCACAGTGTCTGTGTGTGTTTGCATGTTTGTGACTGTGCACAGAGGGGGTGGCTTCAAATGACTGTGCACAGGTGCAGGGGGGCGAGGAGGACATACCACCGAACTTCATCATGCACACAACCAGATGTACTAATTTAATCCCACAGAACTTGATGTTGCGTAAAGTCTGTGTGTTTGGGGAAGATCAGTGATGACTCTTCATCACAGTCATCAGCAGGATGTGTTTGCTCGAAATTTGTGACTAACAGATTCTGTTTTCAGACTTTGGTAAGCATATACATTACACAGTTAGCCGGGCATGGACAAACCTCTGCTTTGGCTCTTTATGTTGTTTCCTTTGACGAAAATAAAGAATCTCTAAACACACTTTCCTACAAAATACACTTCAGCTCATTTTATGATT